TTGATCTTCAGTTTTCCCGAAACGGGAGGCAAGGTCCCCTGCGAGGTTTTAGGGTGTCCCGCCGAATCAAACCTGTATCGTAAGCCCGATACATCTAATATCAGCGATGTACGAGAACGCAAGATCCCCCAAGACTTACCTCGGATCCACCCTTACCTGGATTCACTAAGATGGATATGGGATATACTATCCTAGAGTGGATGGAGTGCGGCTCCTATGACGGAAGGATGGTCGGTGCTCTCTGACCGTGGATATAGTACCCCCATAGTAATGAAGAGTCACGTTCCACCTCGAGGTACCCCGGATCCCATACTTCCGAGTTCGTATCCAAGGAGGGAGGATCCCGCCTGGAGGGACCTGGATCCAGGGTATAGGGATGAGGGATACAGTGGATCTCGAACTTTCGTAGGACAACGGAGATCACAGACGATTGCAAGATGATGTTGGATGATTGGAGAGTTCGGATCCACGGCGAGTGTACCATTACAGTGAGGTGGATCCAAGCGACCTGGATCCGGATGAGTGTACCCATAATAGGGTGACCATGATGATTACGTCATATATCCGGTGGATCTGAAGATAACACAGCTGGGATGATGGGTCAAGGGAAGAAGGGACATGCAGCCGAGCCTGGTAAGGGATTTAGCAGATGAAAGACATAGAAGGTAGAAACCCAGGCAGGTATAGGCTTAAATATCAATGCAGACTCCAATTTGCACAGTGACACGCAAGTGCCTTCCTGCCCTCAAGAACCGGAACTACATTGGCCGTACGAGCTCCGAGAAGGTTGGGAATTGCGAATCTAGTGTTGGTAGTGATAACTGGATAATACATTGGCCAGATCCTACAACCTAGTGAGCTTTTCCTTTACTTGTGCAGATTCGACAGGTTAACCGAATTTACTACTTGGTCGGTTACACCCTAGGGGCTCTCAACTCTCAAGATCCCGTCACAGGAGGCGGCAAGTACGACTTAAAGGACAACACAAAGGCAAGGGAACACACCCGCAAGGCAACCCCACGGCTAGATCCACGATCTAGGCCCCGGATCCATAAGCTCGAATATTCGCTTAGGATACGGAACCATCCACGGACGCAGAGTGAAGATTTTCCACTGCTGCTCCACCCCATCCCCACGTCTCGCCAAGACACTCAAGCTTCACCACTTGAACTCTTCGGAAGTTACCGAGAGAGCAGATCCCGCCCTACCGACGGGTACACAAGGTGAGGAAAGTTCAGCAGAACACGGATCATCGGGGGACCCCCTCCGTTAGTCGGTGTCTGGGCGCAGTTGGTAAGTTGGATCTGGCAATCTCGCAGATTTTGCTGATCCCGCTACACCACAGAAGCACGCCACTGTCTCCGTCGGCGAGGGACTTCAGCTCTGGTTCTTTTCCTTCTGATTTTTGAGCGGTTTTAGTCTTGTGAGGAAGGCCGTCGTGTGTGAATTTGGCTTCACGTCCCTTCCAGGCGCTCATACACTCATCGACGTCTATAATCTTTCCAGGAGAAACGTGCGTTTTTCTTCGATCATTGAACCCTAGCATCAAGGGCCGTATCGGATCCCACGGATCGTCCGGCTGACTGTTGTCCGAGAGCGCAAGTGCGTACAATATCTGCTCGAAGCAGTGACGGCTCATCTGGAACCTTGATGCGTAGTTGGACGGTGTATTTACGTATACCGCTTTGTATTGCGTGTCCCAGTATACACGCGCTGGCCTCGGCGTGACTACATGCCACGGCAAGGCGAATACCAATCCACCAAAATAAATCACCAGGTCCAATGGTACGAAATGAATTCATCGCTAAATTGATGTTGGTCAGTCGAATAGTTTCTTGTAGAGTACTCATTGGGTACATTAGGTGGAAATACTTCACTAGCGACCGCACTCCAAGTTGAAGATGTGCCGGCCAGAGAAATGTTGTCGTACGAGCCGAAAACTGGCAAGCTGAGTCAACCATGACACTATCGAGCGGTACCCACAAGCGGCCATGAGCCATGACTGTGCCGTCTTCCTCCTATTATTCCTCCGAGTCCGGATTTTCATCGTCTTCCTCGTTGTCCTGGCAGGTAGCAAGGAACTTCGACCGGATACGGTACGCCTGATTAGGCGGCGCGAACACGCGAAAGCTGTTGCTTCAGCTGATCCCAAGTGGTAAATGCAGCGTCAACAGACGTGCGGCACGTTAGTGCCCATTTGCGAGCGCGACCTCCAAGCCTGGAGATAGCTAGCACCACGCGCTGATGCTCAGACTGGAGCAGGGCCGATCCCATGGCCATCTCGACCTCACGGGTCCAGAGAAATAGATTCTCTCCATCCTTCCCCTCGAAGGTTTTTACGCTCACCATGAGCGGTTTCAGTCTCATAGACTCTTCACGCGTCATCGACGCCGCCGCCGCTGCGGCGCTCATCTTCTCTTGGACATGCTCCAAGAGCGCGTTCTCGTAGCGGGAGAACAATTCCAGCCTGGCAGTGACCGCCTCTGGATCTTGCGATGCAAGATGAGCCACGCCCTCCGGGCCAAGCAAGGACATAAGCTTAGTAAGCGCGTCTGCTGCGCCGGGGGCAAATTCGCGAACACGGGGTGTTCTATCCTCGCAGAGGGATATAGTCAACCGACTCAGGAGCGGGGATTGACTACAAGTGCTACCAAGTGCAGCGGGGCTGCCGTAGCTTTAGCGTCAGAGGAAGACGTTTCGACTCAAAGAGTCACTAATACTAAGTTCCTTATCCAAAGGACACTTACAGCCCAAGACCAGGGCTCAAAGTTAACACCTTAACTTTTATGCTTCAAAACCAGAAGTGATTTATTTACTATTATTGCGGCCAAGCCGCCTAGGGGTAAATGTATCTCTTTAACTATCTAGCATAGTTAAACCTAATCAAATGCATAACGTGTGGCTTTCAGCCAACGTACTGAGAGACCTTGTTAACTCTCCAACTTATGTACTGAGAGTTTGCTAACTCTCCGGGTACTTCGTACCCCTGTGTGTTCCACACCATGTAACCCCGTTACATAACCTACCTATAAATATACTCAGTTTACAATCTACCTTATATAGGTCACTTACCTCTCTTTAAATAAAGAGGGGACCTGTGAACTGCCGTTCACTGAGCGTTTGTATACTCTCGGAAGATAACTTCCTCTAGCGCAAGGTGCTGTGTGA